CCCATGTTGCCACAGGACACACCCTCACTTCACACGTGCCAGATACACGCATTCATCCCGACAGCTACTCATGGCGCTCGTGGCTCAAGACCTTTGTCACGCTGTGCCTGCCCCCTCCTTGTCCACTTGTTGAACTTTTCTCACAGGAATAATAACCAGCCACTATTTCTTAATTGCCCTAAGAGCTGGGCCGGAATGCTTTGCAAATGTTGTGGGTTTGTTTTTTTTTCATCAACAAGCCGACAAAGAAATGATCATTATCCCTGTTTTACAGGGAAGGAAACTGAGGCACTGAGAGGTCAAGTAGCTGCTCCCGGGTCATGTGGCTAGTATGTTTGGGGACCAGAGATGACCTCAGTGCTGTCCTTCAAGATGTAGAGTGACCGCCTCTCCCCCTGGAAACGTGCCGGAGGTGGGCAGAGGCGGGGCCTCGCCTGGTCCGTGGACTCATGAGTCCTGAGATGCCCAGCCTCAGCTGGCAGAGACCCGTGGTCAAGGAGCCCGTCCTGCGGTGGGCCAGGCAGCCGGGAACATGGCCACCTGCCCCAAGGTGTGCCAACTGCCAGCAGGCAGAGCCCCAGAAGAGCTGTCGGCAGACCTGGCTCCACCTGCTACTTGCCAGGGGGCTTTGGGAAATTGTTTCTGACTCCTTTCTGAATCACTGACTTGCCTCAACCATGACTCTTCCAAAGAACCCTTCTTTGGCATGTAGAATTTGAGCTCTCGCAACTCTGGGATTCCCCACGTTGTACAGACACAAGGCAAGATGCACTTGCCCATGACAGACAGGTGACCATGAAAGCAAAGGCCCAGGTCCCTCATGACAGGACAGCAGGAACTCCCACCACAACCACCCAGGGTGACAACCTCTCTGAGTCCCAGTCTCCTCATCTGTGCAATGGGGATATAGTTATATCAGCCCCACTCCTGGGATCCTGCGAGGACTACAGGGTGAATCACAGAGGGCTTTGCAAATCATCCGATGGCCACCCCAATTGCTCCTCTGGAGGGATATCTCTTTTGTGTCTTGTCCCCTGCTCCCCCCAATCTGGGCCTGGCACCCAGGGGTATTTAGCCAATAGCTGTTGGGTGAAGGCATGATGGCTCAGAGTTGGGGTGAGTGAGTGGTGCCCCAGGCACCCGCCCCACCCCCCTGCAGAGGGCCCAGCAGGTACCAGGCGGAAGGAGCGCAGCACCGACAGGTTGCCCATGCGGGACAGGCCTAGCTCCATGAGGCTGAGGATGACGATGATGCTGTCGAAGATGTTCCAGCCCTGCTGGAAGTAGTAGTAGGGGTCGAGAGCGATGATCTTGAAGGTCATCTCTGCGGTGAAGATCCCGGTGAAGACCTGGGAGGGCGTAGAAAACAGGGGTTCCCCACGATTGGGCTGGAAAGAGCCTCTGGCCGTCAGGGGCGCTTGTTCCCACAGGGTCTCCTTTCTGGGCTGCCAGCTCTGACTGCACCCAGGCTCCTGGTGGGGGCCTGCCTGGCTATGGCCTCACCCCTTAGGGATACCTCTGCCCCGATGCCTCCAGCCCACCCTGTTGCTCACCGAGCATGAGCTGCCAGCCTGCCCCTCAGAAACAGCCGGGCCCATCGAGGGCTCTGCAGAAATTCCGTTCAGGAAGCACCTGAGGCCGGGGACCCAGCCCTAGACTCCTTCCAGCCCATGTTGCCACAGGACACACCCTCACTTCACACGTGCCAGATACACGCATTCATCCCGACAGCTACTCATGGCGCTCGTGGCTCAAGACCTTTGTCACGCTGTGCCTGCCCACTCCTTGTCCACTTGTTGAACTTTTCTCACAGGAATAATAACCAGCCACTATTTCTTAATTGCCCTAAGAGCTGGGCCGGAATGCTTTGCAAATGTTGTGGGTTTGTTTTTTTTTCATCAACAAGCCGACAAAGAAATGATCATTATCCCTGTTTTACAGGGAAGGAAACTGAGGCACTGAGAGGTCAAGTAGCTGCTCCCGGGTCATGTGGCTAGTATGTTTGGGGACCAGAGATGACCTCAGTGCTGTCCTTCAAGATGTAGAGTGACCGCCTCTCCCCCTGGAAACGTGCCGGAGGTGGGCAGAGGCGGGGCCTCGCCTGGTCCGTGGACTCATGAGTCCTGAGATGCCCAGCCTCAGCTGGCAGAGACCCGTGGTCAAGGAGCCCGTCCTGCGGTGGGCCAGGCAGCCGGGAACATGGCCACCTGCCCCAAGGTGTGCCAACTGCTACCACGGGGACACGGTCCTGAGAGAAGGGGCGCGGGGCTGGAGGGAAGGCGGGCCTGCCCACAAGGCCCTCTTGGCCACTTGGAGGAGCTGGGGTTATCCTGAGGGCAGTGGGGAGACACTGAGGACGTGTGCGTTTATATGAAAACATGCAAGCTTTTTACCGTTTTAATGTATATGATAACAATATATAGTATCTTTGCATTATTTTAAGCAGAATTTATTTTGATCAAGTATATGTGTTCTTTTTCGCAAGTTCTTTTTATCCCAAACATCATGCTTATGAAGTTTATCCATAACGATACATGTATATGTATTCATTCTAAGTGTATTTCATTGTACGAATACACCACAATCGACTTATCTATTTTTTAATGGATGGAGGGACATTCATGTTGATTCCGATTTTGCCTATACCTAACAATGCTGCAAAGAACTTTCTTGTACGTGTCTCTTTCTAC